TGCTCACCTTCCTGGTATCTGCTAGGTAAGAGGAACAGCTGCTGGTGAGTGACTTTGGCAGCAGGGGCTGCATGGTGATGCCAGACTGCAAGAGGCTGACCCCATTCTACTGCTTTCCATCTCTTCATACTACGGTCCGGAGACCTAGCAGGAGAGGGGAAGGTGACAAAAGTCCAAGCAAAACATGTGCTTGGGAAGTGACCAGATTTGTACCAAGTCCGGACAGCATGATCACAACTGTTGGGTCTCCTAGGCTAATATCCTCAAGGTGATCTGTGGACAGCCTGATGTTAGCATGCCATTCCTGGAACCCCACACCAAAAGGTGTCTTCTATGCTCTTGCGGTATGAGAAGCAGACAGCAAGGCACATTTCCCATGCAGCTAATATTGTTTCCAGTACTGCCAATTAAGAAGGAAGACATGAATGGGCTGTGATGAACAAAAACATGTGTGCATCTATTTTAAAGCACTTTGGGTCTCTAGCACTTTCCATTCTCTCCCCTGGAGTACACCGTGCCATCTGCTCCAGTAAGTGCAAGTGCTAATGCTGAAGAGCAGCATCCTGCAAGGCAATGGGAGACCTTTCATGGTCAGCACTAACCTGGTCTTGTCATCTCTCTCTCTCTGTGTGCCAGGTTGAGGTAACTCGGTCATTTAGCACAATGTGCTCTTGGCTGCCTCTGAAGAGCTTTTGAAGGAGAAGAATTAGCCTGGAAATATGTGGCAACTCATTGCATGGTAGAGGCAGAGATGCAAGGAGTACTCCTGTACATGAAATCCTACATCTGGGATTTGCACTGGGTTTGTGCTCAAACCCAAGCTGATGGCGCAAGGTGAGAAGCCCCCCTTCTGGCTGAAGAGTGAGGGTTGGCCACACTGGGTCCCAGCAGAGCACATCATCAACAGGAAGCTGTGCAGGCAGTGGGGATGCCCTGTTTCACAGGCACCTGGCTGCTACCTGCAGCTCTCAGGATGCCAAGGAATGGATTAACCCCTACCATGTCTGAGACAGACCTTAGGAATGGCTAGGAAAAGAACAAAATGGAAATGCTGCTTGCAGCAGTTTATCTGCAGCCAGGATGTTGCCATGTCTCAGATGCTCTGCACAACTATGGTCTCCCCAGGGCCAGAGGAGAGCACCAAGGATTTTTAAAGGTCTGGGATAGTTTCTACACCAGAAGCAGGGTAGTGTTATTCAGCCTTGAGAGGACAGATAAGGTACAGCTGTGAGCAGGCAAGGAGGAGATGTCTTTCACCAGGTGAAGCTCTTGGGTGTCCTGTTACGAGGAAGCAAGTGGAGCTGGTTCCTTCCTACAGTGCAGAGCTGAGAGAAGGAGGTCTCTGCTGTGGGGTACTGAGGTTTGCAAGAGTTCAAAAAGGGATACCTTGAAGAAAAAGCCATCAAGGGCTATTAGATGGAGACACCTTGTCTGGCTCAAGAAATGCTGATCACTGGAACCTGGGTGAGATTTTGGGGAGAACTGCATGTTTTCCCAGTTCTCTCCTCTTCAAGCATAATTTCTTTTTCTTTGTGGCTTTTTTTTCCTTAATTTTGTTGAAAGCTCCTTGAGGAACAAGAAAGGGAGGTGATGTGTGGAGCACAGGTTGTCCCAGGGTTATAATGCTTTATTGCTCACTGGCAATAAGTAAGATCTGCTGTGATAGCCTGAGAGGAGGGCAGATTGGCTTCTTTTATAGCCTCCTTTGTCTCCCTGCAGCTCTCAGTGCTGCTTGGAGTCATTAAAGAAGTGACCCTGGAAGTGTTGGCAGAGGATGGGGTTTGCTGTTGCTTCCTGCATAAGTGCCTTCACCATGTGATTCACATCCCAGTGGGCTGCACTGTTGCCTCAGGTCTGGAGCAATCAAAGTAGGTGAGGTTTTAATGCAAACACTGAGAGCAGGCATCAGTGACTCCAGGGCAATATCATGAGTCAAGGAGGACATCCTGGTCCAGGACACCAACTGTGCTTCTGGCAGTGAGGACTGAGTGTACCCAGATCCCAACCCGCACCATGATGTTCATGAAGGGAACACACATGGGCAGGTTGGATGGGACGCCATGATGTGTATGAGCTGGTCCCTGCTCTGGCTGAGCCAAGCAGCAGTGGCCAAGTGCAGATGCAGCCTTTAGTACATAGAGAAGGAGGAAAAATCTGCAGACTGTTGGAAAACAGAAAGCCAAATTCCCTTCTAAAAAAAGAAGGTCAAAGCTGGGTGGGGAGGAACTGTTCTGGGGGCATGTTAAAGCCAGGCTAACTTTCCAAGTAATGATGAATTGGATGTTTTCTTGTGAAGTTACGTGCATCTAGAGAAGAGACGATAAAGACAATTCTTTTTCTTGGTATGCCTTATTAAGCAGCTAAAAACAGTGATGTGATGCTAACGGGTATCTGTGATGCTGGAGCAATGTTGCATTTGCTGCTTTTGAAGGGGAGGACCTTGTCTCATGATTTGGGTTTTTACTCTATTAGATAATGAGCTCAGCCAAGGGACACAGTGAGAATGCGTCTTTGCCGGGGTGTTCACTCTGTGTGTCGAATGCAGACCCAGAGATGGGGTATGTGCAAGGAGGAACATGGAGCTATTAAGTAGAGGATGGAAAAACAGAATAGAAAGGAAGACCTCTACCATTTTTTTTTTTTATGAAGAGTTTTACTTCTGTTTGAGGAAGAGCAAGCTGTGGCCAGCTGATTATTCGGGGGTAAGGAGCCTCCAAGTTTCCTGGTCCCAATCAGACCTGCCAGGTCCTGGTCACAAAGGGTAGAAACATGTTGGTGTGAGGTGGCAGCTTGGCTGAAAGCAGGACTGGCGAGCAAGGACGGGTGAGCAAGAAGTGTGTGTGACAGTGTGACTGCTGTGAAGAGTGGAGGCACTGTGCCAGAAAGCGTGGCGGGGCACAGAGATGAGGCCAGAGGAGACAGTGAAGGGTCAGCCACTGCCCATGAGAGCCAACAAGACATCCATAATGATGAATTCAATCTGCAGTCATTATAAGCAGCAGTGAACGCTGCCCCTCATCCAGCTACGGCATTGCTTAATCTTTGCAGGCAATCTCACCCATCCGTGCAAGGGACACCCAACTGCTCATGGGTGGGTTGCCCATCTTGCCACGCTCTTAGCCATAACCTGCAGCAAGGGGGGACAGCAGCACTTCACATTGCTTTAAGTATCGTGTCCAGGATAAACTGACCTCATGGACCTGCCTGGCAGGAGACACCTCAGTGGAGCAGGGTATCAAAGGACTGGAAGCAATCCTTCAACATCCATATAGGTGTGTGTGAATCTATATATGCATCTGTCTATATATGTGTATGTACATATGCACATGCATGAGTGTGGGAGGTCCCTAATGTCCTACTAGCACAGCTACCACCCAGCGAGACCTGCGTGCCTGCGACGCTGGGGAGAAGCTTCTGCTCTGTTGGTGCGGGCTGATGGTGATTTTCCTTCCTGCTCCCAAGGTGGAAGGATCAGAGCCCCAGAGCCAGGTCAGAGCTACCAGGGCTAGGAGACTTCCCCCCTCCCCATCATCCTGTCCTGGGCTAAACCTGGGCTTGGCCTCCTAGCAGAGTCTGTATCACCTTGTCCCACCTCCTCAGCAAGGGTGCAGGGAAGCTTTCAGCAGGTCTTGGTGGCAGCCTGTGAGGCTGGAAGGTGGGATGTGTGACAGGGGTGCTGTAAGGCTGGGCATGGGCTATGGCATCTGCAAGCGGAGGTCCTGATTTCCTTCTCGGTTCTCCCCAGGTCTCACAGATAACTCGCAGAGCCTGGGAAGAGCAGGACGAGGCAGGGCCTTCCTGCGGCCTTCTGCTGCTCCCCAGTGGTGGCGTGGAGGGGCATCACAGGCAGATCCTGATGGGTGAAGCCCTGATGGGAGATGGTGAGGGGGCTGTGGCATCTTTAAGTGGAGGTTTACTTCCTTCTTCATCTTCCCCAGGTCTCACAGATAACTCTCACCGGGCTGGGGAAGAGCAGGATGACGAGGATGTGGGGGAGATGCAATCACAAGCCTAGAGTTTTTTTGAAAACAAGCAAACTTTTTTAGACCCTTTTGGGCACTAAACAGTACCTTCTGGGTTTATTTTCCGGAACCAGTGAAAGAGGTTGAAACTGGCTCTATTTCCTTATCCTGATAATTCACTTGCTGCTTAAAAAGATCGTCCCCTTCTATTCTGTTCTGAAACAAATGGCATGAGGGCAAACGCATGAAGTTTCCAACCACTTCTAGGGTGATGAGAGCAGTGTAGCTCTTATTGTTACTGCTGACAGCAAGAAATTGTTTCCTTAGTGCATTCATAAAATTAGTCCTCCAGATGGCCTGAATATCATTCCTTTCAAAATTAGCCCTTTTAATTAATGGAAAGAATATTACGGTAAAGGATGCTTTTACTTTAAGTTTCTTGGCAGGCTGCATCACAGCAGGTGCTAGTATTTCCTAGTTCTCCCCAGCAGTGCCTGAGGTTCATAAGCTTATTTTTTCCAGGGCTGTTTGGCCTTTGGGAGGTGGGAGGATTTGCTCACAGGTCTCAGTGTTGGTGTTCCTCCTGCCTATGCTGAGGTTCTTGCAGGCTGGAGGTACCACCTGTGAGACCACTTTGTTGCTCATTAAAATACCCACCAAGGCAGGTGCTGCTGCTGCTTGCTCTGGGGCTCGTGCTGGCCACAAGGGTATAGGTTGGAGGGAGGTTTAAGCAAGAGAAAGATAATGCTGCTAAGAGAGCAAGGTAGAAAAATGACAGATGAAGGACAATGTTGCCAGTCATTTCCTATCCCTCTGGCAGAGCATCTGTCACCCACGTTGCAAGGCTGTCCCAGGCCAGAGTTACTGGGACTACCTGGTATGTCAGGGAGTCTTCCAGCACTGGGGCACCACTCTGCAAGTCTCACAGAAGCATTGTGGTCAGTGTGGCTGATGCTTTGGGTTGCTGTGGGCCAGACCCTGAAGTAGGAGTTGTAGTTCTTGGGCACAAAGTATTCAGCCTGTTTGTTCAGGATTGAAAAAGGGATTTTTGTTATCTGGAAAAAGCTTCAGTTTTTGAAACTGAAATAAAAAATACCTTTATTAAAATAGTTTGGAATGCTCTGCAATTTTAGTTTTTAGTAACTTAAACATTGAATAAGATCTTTTCCTAGGAAGAAATGGGTGTTTCATGAAATCCAGTTTTTCTGCTGAATAAATTTTAGGCAACAGGTTGCAGTTAGTTTAATTTTGAGCATGGACACACAGCACAGAGTCAAGTAGAACTGTACTTTCTTTATGGGAACAAGGTTGCAGTAGCTTAATAACTGATGTGGGGCAGGGTGTCCCACAAATTTTTTTTTTTTTACAAGCATGATGTCCATCATCTTTAGGAAAAGAGCGCTTAAAAGTTACTGGAAAGGAACAGGAATAATTTAAAACTTCTTACACCAACAATGAGAAGAGAATCTGATCAATCATATAGCAGAAGTTATACATGTAATTTTATGTGAACAATATACAATCAATCACTATATTTAATGTGAAACTGCCTTTGGATATTTGAAAAAATTGTTTGCTGTACTCGGAATAGTTAAAGGTGAAAATGTTATTTTGCACGTATCGGGACGTGGTGCTGGACTTTTGTATGCATTTTGCATGCTGCTGTTCAAGTGAGCACAGATTTGTTCCCTCTCATCATTTCGGTGGGAGCCTTCTGCTATCTTCAAGCCCCCCTTAGCTTTTGGAGGCAGAGAAGGGAGAATCTAAATGTCAGTGAGAAAAGGAGACTTCCCAACTGATGGAATTCTAAAGAAAAACCTGAAAATATCCAACAAATCTCTCCAGAAGTTGGGGCAAAAAACCCAGTACCTTGTAGAGCAAAAGCCACTGTATGTGCATATGAATATAATTGTGTACAGTGGGCCACTGTCTGTGCATACATATACCTGTATGTTCTTCTATCTAAACACGTATATTTTAAATACTTTGACTTAAAATCATGCTTTTAAAAAAGTCTCCTGCATTTTAAGAGGCTGGCCACACCAGGTGTCCTCTCCATCACTGTTGCCCCAGCTCCCCAGGCTAATGCTCGGGTGCACCAGGGATTTCTACTGCACCCACTAATTTCTGGACCCTTTTCCACAGTCCCTCTGCTGGCACCTGCCCTTCCCAGCCAGCTGCTGTGAGGAGTTACTGCTTCGATCATGTGAATACACTATGGGGGGAGCCTGGTATCAGGGGAAGGCAAAGGCCATGCTGGAATTAAATTGAATGCAAGGACAGGTGGGCAAGGAGAGCCCACTAGTCTCCCAGGAGCAATGTATGTTGTAACCCCCAGTCCAGAGAACTATTAGGGGCTTGCACATCTACCTGGGCAGGCTGCCATGGCCCCTTCCCAGCCTGAGGAAAGGACGTGGAAAGCTGGAAAAGGACCATACAAGCCGGACACCCCAGGGAGGCAGGAGGGTCCATGCTGGGTCCTGCCCAAAGTGCTGTCCTCCTCCTTCCCATCACAGAGGTATTGTTCTTGGGGGGAGTCTCTTTGTCCCCTTCCTTGGGTTGGCTCTTGCAGTAGTACAGGCTCAGTGCCTGGGTGGAAGCAGTGCTGGATGTCCTGTAGAGAAAAGAGTACGCTGGGGGTGGCAGAGCTGGGGTGGCCCCTGGAGATGGGGAAGATTGCCAGGGACCTACCACAGGTCTCAGTGCTGGCCTGCAGGGGTGATGAGGGCATCGGGGCTTTCTGCATGGCCTGGGGGTGCCTGGATACTGCTCTGTTGTGCATCCACCTGTCCTTTCCACTCCCTCCCCCGACCACTAAGACACCCTTGCCTGGTGTCCCTGCCCTTTGGCTGCTCATTGTCCCTGGGACCTGCACACTCCTGTTCCCTGGGGATTGCCTGGGGAAACCGATTGCTCAGGGCCACTGGGATGCCCCCCCAGAGAGAGAGGACAGCTGGGTGAATCTGCCCCCTGGGCTGCAGCACATAGGGCTGTGATAGCACACAGCAGTGTGTATCAGGGCTGTGCTGTGATGCTGTCAGTACAGGGAGGTACCTAGCGCTTATGGGGCACCACATCCTGGGACAAATGATCTCTCCAGCCGTGTCATGGGCCTGGGGCATCTCCCTTGTGCCAGTGCTCTGGGCCACCTGACCAGCTGTGCAACACCCCCGTCTTTCCATCTACCTGATGGTGCCTCTACCCTGACCCCCAACTGACTTGGCTGTGCCAGAGCCCTTCCCGTGCTGGCCCTGTGGCTGGTACCCAGTCTCTTCCACAGCATGCAGGAGATCATCCCAGAGCTTTCTCTTCCTGAGCAAATGCCCCTTGTGCGTGCCTGAACATCTCATAGGCAGACAGTGGTGCCAGTGAGTGTGTACCCACAGCAGGAACTGCCCGGATTCAGCTCACGTGCAGGGAGGATTCATGGGGAGGCTAGAGAGGACGAATGCACAGCATCCACGGGCAATGGATGTGCTTGAAGCACAGACTCGTCTTGGGGGTGGATAGGCACTCATGCCACCACACGCAGCCGGGTGGCAAGCCAAAAGCCATGGAGGGGCAGCACACTGGCAGCTTCCCCCGGGTGTGCAGCGAGGGGGGCTGCCAACCCCCCGTGTGCCCGGGGCCACCTCCTCGGCTCGGGCGCTGCCCCCCCGCTTTGCCCGGTGGGGG